TGTGACAAGTGCAAAGAAAACTATTTTATTTCCGAAGACAAATGTGTTGACATGTGTCCAGAAAAGTACTTTGAAAAAGAAGGAAAATGCGAGAAGTGCAAAGACACATACAACACGCCATGCAAACAAGGCGACACCGAATGCGAGGTTTGTATGAACAAAAGTGGGACATTGAAGGTGTTAGTTGTAGTTGTGGTGTTTGTCTTGATGATTGCCTTCTAAGTTACTTTTTGGTTGGTTTTAATTTAAATCTGTTTTTAACACTTGAAATGTGTTGGTGATTAATTTCATAGCTTCAATGAATTATATAAATATAATATGTTATTAATTAATCGATTTAGTTTAATTTATTAGTAATTAACTATCTAATTAATACTTATTAAAATTTTTATATATATGGTATTTTTTTATTTAAAATAACTATAAATTGATATTATAAGTTGTAGTAAATTAAACTAATCAACAAAACTATAAATTGATATTATAAGTTGTAGTAAATTAAACTAATCAACAAAACTATAAATAAAAATCAAACCCATAATTATAAAAATTGGCAACAAGTATAAAGATAAAGAATAAAAAAATGGGAATTAGACCGTACGACTAGGATCATTCTTAGAGTATGTCACTTTCTATTTAACAAATAGAATTCACAAAATAGGATGAAGACTTTCATCACTTCAGTGCCAAAGGGAGATACGCAGCAATGCACGATGAACTGCTTGTTGAGGGGTCGAGTGCGTGCACAACACTCTGAGATGAGAGGCACTGAAGTCTGTCTGACTATTTTTTATGTATTTCAATTATTATATAATTATAATAATTAATATATTATCAAAGAATTAAATTGATAAAATAAGAAACAATCAAATCAAATTGAAAGACAATCAGATAAAAGCAAATTGTGAGCGTATTTCAACACGTGTTGGATTCTTACCTTTTGGTTTTTTGTTCTTGAGATTTTGATAAGCCCACCGTTTCTGTTTCTTATCGTCTTGCTTGTTCAGTGTGATGTATGTGACTGTTTTGACTGCCTTCTTTTGAAAAAGTGTGTTGTGTTTTGTTGCAACATTTTCAAACATTTCCAAGTGGATCACCATGCTTTCTGATGACTGTTTTAACACCAATTCCTTTTTATACAATGTGACACGTCTACACAATCCATTTGTCAAGACTCAATCCAAACTTTGAGTCTTGACAATTGGTACAAATACAACAATACTTCCATTTGAAAACACAACATACATTCATAATGTTGTTAACAAAAAATAAAAAACTATGATAAAGAAGTGAATTAGTTACTGCACCATTTTGAGAATCTCTTCAAGTACTTCAGAGCTGCCAGGCGCCTATTTCACGACCTTCTGGTTTTGGAAAAAGACAAATGTGGGAAGTGATGCAATCGAGTATTCAGCAGCATAATGAGTTGCTGTAGTTGCATCAACTTTGAAGAACTTGAGGTTTGTGTGTTCGTCAGCAAGTTTATCCATCATTGGCGCACTTGCCTTGCACTTTGCACACCCAGGAGAGTAAAAGATGACAAGAACGTTCTTGTTGTTTTCAATTGTCTGTTTCACTTCTGCAACATTGGTAGTGTATGTCACTGGCATGTCTTGATGTTAAGTTGTGTGGTTTGGTTATTTAAATACACACCGATTGTTTCAATACACAGTTACCAATGACCAGATGTTGCAATGAAACTGTCACGATTTAATTTATTTGTTTACATTTAAATTGTTTTATTATTTAATTGTTTGGTATTTGATATAGTAAAAATATAGATAAATAAATTTTATTATATAAATAAACTAATTAAATATTATTTGTTGTGTGGTCGTTTTTTATACAAATTTAATTCAATCAATATAAACAGTATATTTAAAAAGTTAAATACGAAAACATTACAATAAGAATGTTATTTTTATCCATTTTTTATAACTATAATTTGTCTGTGATAGATTTTTAATAAACAATTTTTGGTATTTTTCAAATAACACAATAAGATATTGCCATTTTGACGTTTTTAGTTACTGCATAAACTAATCGGAATGTATGTTAAGCCAAAATCATTTCAAGTTATATCAAAACACAATTAAATATATTTATGTTGTATTTACAGAACATGATATTAATTAATATGTTGCACGTATAACTACTTTCATTGTGATAATCAATACTTATATTAAAAACAAGTTAATAATAACAATGAGTTTAATATAATTACAGGCATTTAAACCGTTTGTTATTAAAAACAATGATATATTATTTGGTTATTCTAGGTAATAGAAATTGACCATTGTATGTTAAAATGTTCATGGTTAAACTAGCATGCATAATTGGGATATTTTTAAATAATATTGTTTGAACTAAACACACATTTATCGTTGTACTTGTAAATAATTACAAAATATATTAAAACATAATACATTTGATCAATAACAAAAAAAAACACAACGGTTACTTGAACTTGAAAATATAATACATATAAAAGTCTGTTTAATAGATGATTGCATTTTCTATTATAATATGTTGTTGTTGAAATAAGTTTTAAAATTATTGTATCACTTTTAAGGATATTTGAAAATTGAAAAAAACAAAAGTCGATGAAAATTTTATACAATGTTTGGTATAAACTCGAAGCACATATAAAGAAAAAGACAAGTTATAATGTTTTCTATAACTTTTAATATTTACATAAATTTAAATCAAAATCACAATTCTATTAAATATGATAAAAATTTTGTAACAGATATACCTATTATAGAAACTCAAACAAAAAGTAAAATGTAACAACCAAAAACGATTTTTATTTATAACCAATATTTAATAATCCAATTAAAAAAATAATTGTTGTAATAAATTCGGCAAAATACAAAACATGTCGAATAAAAAATATTAAACATAGAAATTAATACACAAAACGGTAAAACCACTTTAATATTTTTTTAAAAACATCTAACTGTAAAGTTTTCTAAATAATGGTCTGCAAAAATTTTTACTCCTATGGGAGAAATACCATCAAAAAGTAGACCGATAAAGTTTAAACCAATCAGAATTATGTCACTTAAAAAGCGTCTTGCACACAACAAATTGAAATTATTTTTGGGGGTTAGCAGGGCTTTAAGCACTCAAAAGAGTATCAAACAAAAAAGCACTCAAAAAACAGCCACTGAGTTCGTTTATACTACTAATATTATTGTTAATGGTATTAAAGAGGATATTATAGTGGCAGGGAGTAAGGTAGACCTACCACCACCTTCAGAGTTTTATCCAACAAATGGATATGTGAAATCTGATTATAACATCTTTGTTGTGCTTGTCGATAGCACCTCAAATGAATTAGACACTGATTATCTCAGTCAACACATTTATTATATTATACCCGCACTTGAAGAAACAGATGATTATTACTTTGGAGAATTTGAATTTTTCCATTATTTGGTGCAGAATTTGGTTGCACTTGTCTATTATAACACTGACAAACGCAACACCCATAACAATCCAAAAATCGAAGAGATGTTCCATGGAAGGTGTCTCCACTTTGTTATTGGCGACATCGACAAAGAAAGCATCAGTCGAATCATTCAAAAGACGATTACTGCCAAACGAAGTGGCTTTGCAGGAAGATATTTTGAAAGAAAACCAGTCATTTTGCTGTAAGAAGAAAACAACATTAAAGGTGAGTTTGACATTTTACTCAAATTTGAAAGAATGGAACTCACAAAAGTCTATCCAAAGACAGAAATAACAGAAAACATATTAAGATGGACGAGAAGATATTTGGGAAGAGGGACAGAACCCTGTGTTTTAACAATTAAAGACAATGAATTTTTAATATATTCTTCTGGGAGAGTCTGTTTGATGGCAAATTAGAAGGTTTTGATGTTGAAATGAATGATCTGAATGATGTCGACAAATTTCTGGGAACGCTTGGACTGAACGTCAAAGTAAGAAACGACTTCGTTGTGTATTGGATAAAGGAGATGAAAAACTTTTAAAAGATGTTTGTCAGAATAGTTGACAGAAAACAATACGAGAAGTTGGTTCCACTCAACGTGAAAGGATTCGACAACGTGAAGAATATTTGTTGGGTTTGGTGAGTGCCAAGAAGGAAACAAGTGTTTAAGTGTTTAAGAAGTCGAAAGTGTTAAAAAACCACAAGGAAAGTATATCATTGAATGGGGAGCAACTCTCATTTAATACAAATTCTATTTATTTTTATAATTAAATAAAATAAAGTTATTTTTATTATATTATGATATTAGAGTTAACCAAATAAATCTAATTATATATTAATATCTTAATAGTTTTTTTGGATGAATAAAAATTATTATTTATTTACTATAATAAAATTATTTAAAAAATAGTAAATTATTATAATTTTATACTATAAAGTTCTAGTACAATACTAAATAATATCAAAAAATGAATAAATATTATAAGAAAATTAATTGGGTAGATTCAAAAAATTTAAATAAGCTAGATTTCCAATATAAATACTTTAACTTAACAACTATTTGAAACTAATAAATTTTATGTCAAAAGAACTTACAGACCACCAAGACGAGTTGGATGAGTCTTATACAGACGTTAAGAAATGTTTTGAACGTATGCAAATTAAAAAACATCAATACGTTTCTTTAGTTCAACTTATACTTCCACACAATTATGATAATATAGACGATAATGACGCAATAAATACACTTAATGATATTATCAAAAAAGCAAACTCCAACGAATCAATTTGTTTAGATTATAATAAAGAATTAGAGAATGTGAGGGCAACTTTAATGGATGTCGTGTCGATTATACAAACACACAAAAAAGAATGTGAAGAACGCCGAATAAAAATTGTTATTTTTCGAAACGACGTGATCGCCAAATTGATCGAACGAGAGAAGCACAAGATGGAAACTGAGATTCAAATTAACAATAAAAGAAAACAAAGACTGACATCACAATTTGAAACACTAAAACAAGACCTAGAGAGGAAATTTGTTTCAACAAACATGAGCTCGGGCCAAGCCCGAACAGAGCCCGACCTTTTTCTTTATAATAATAATAATAATTTAGATTTAAATGTGATACTCAATGACCACGAAAATTCAACACCGACATTATTATGTTTTAACAACCCTTTAGAAAACAACACAAACTCGGAATATGTATCAAATTTGAATAACACCGACTTTAGAAATATCTCACAAAAAACACCACAAGAAAAGGATATCATGTTATTTGAAAAACAAGAACCAATTGATTTGGCCCCAGAAAACTCAGTCTGTAAAGAGTCAAAAGAACGTTCTGAATATATTCAAACCATTGGAACTGATAAAACTCACACCGCCAGCAAACACGCAAAAATCAAAACACCCGAAATTGTAATGAACAAAAACAATGACAAAAAAACACCAAACAGCTTGAACGCCACAGACGAACAAACACTGGTCGAATGTTGTGATGATAAAATAAACTCAGAAACGGAAGACTTGTCTGGGAATGTCACATCAAATCAAGACTTTAATGTACTTATTGATTTGAACAAGCGACCCACACAAAACACGACCAACATTTCCGTTCAAACTCAACGACGAGAGAATTTAAAAGACGCTCAATATGAAAATTCAAAAAAAGGCGACAGTTCAAATGGGTCGACTGATTCGAAGAAACAAAAACGTTTATTTTACATCCCACCCGTCTCACAAACAGACCAATCGGTTTATACCCCATTCAAAACAACAAGATGCATCCCACACTTACAAACATTAATAAAATCAAATGAAGGTGTCTTGGGGGAGAAAGAGAAACTCTGCATATCTGAGTGGACCGGCAGATCCGTCGGGGAGAGCGTCTTTAATTCTAATACTGATCCTTCCAGTCGTGGGAGTAAGACGTTCTTCCAGCGCATCACACAGTGCTTTAGTGGGTTTGTAGTAGTTGTCGAGCACGAGAATGATGTCTTTGGGGCGGTTGTGTTCAATCGTGTAGTGAATGAAGGGGTCGAAGTGAGTGATAATAATGCCTTTACCTTTGTTTTAAGAGAACGTGGAGTGGACAAGAAAGAGAAATATAACATCAAAACTGCGTGTGTCAAAAACGCATTTTGCGTTGGGACGCGGGAAGGGAGAAAACTCTGTGAAGTCGGGAATGGCGATTTAAAAGTGTTGAGAAAAGTACAAGGAATAATGACGTGTAGCTCCTCTCAATCTTCTTTTGAATATGGACCAAATCACACCATTTTCGCAACTAAAAGTAAGGAGGGCTTTTTCCCAAAAGTGTTTGCCGTGTATAAACTTGAAACACAGAAACGTGGAAGACCAAAAAAGTTGAAACCACAGCCGTAATATTACTTCCAACAGATTTATAGCAAAAAAAACTATTGTGATACTATAAGATATTTGATTGTTTGATTATAAATATTATATAGTTTTTTAATTAATTTAAGTTTAAATAATTAAATTAAATAATAGAAATGGCTAATTATAGTAATTTTTAACTATATGACTAATTTGAAAAGTAATTTATATACCTTATAATTAATTAACTATATATACTGTTAGCTAACTGACTATAATAAAAATATGGTATTAATATAATTTAAAAAATATAAGATATATATAACTATATTAATTAATTAATTAATTAACTATATAACTTTATTAATTATTTTAGTTAATTTATATTATTTAATAATATAGGTCGTTAACTAACTCAAGTACAATTCGCTAATGGGGTATATAGTTAATTAACTATACAGTGTTTAGGTTATCATATAGTTAAAATTTACTAAATTTTATTATATTTAAAAAATATAAAATGTATAGTTTATAAAACTATAAATATAGTACCATAGACAAAATTTAATTTTTCAGGTTTTTATTATTTCTTGGAGGTTTCTGTTGGAGAAATTCTTCTCTTTTTTTTCCACCCTTTTTGCCAGTTTCGGATTTTTTCTCATTTTCGTCGTTCTGTTGTTCTTTTTCTTTTTGTGGACATTTATTTGTGTTGTGGCCGAGTTTTCCACATACGAAACACGGTTTGAAGCGTTTGCCATTTTCATGACAGGCGACGACTGTGATCTCCTTTTTACCATATTCGGTGTTATTTAAGTCGTCGATCATGTTCTCTGCTGTTGCGATGTCCTTCACAAATACACTCACATACGACGAATTCAATTCGCCTTTCTTTTCAATCATCTTCTCGACTTTCTTCACTGAAAAATCTTTTAAATACTCACGCACTTCTTTTTCAGTTTTGTTCAGACCATGAAACCCAAAGATAACAATTTTCTTTGATGTGTCAGTTTTAAGATACTTTGCTGACATTTTGAGTTTGTCCCACTTTGTGTTGTTCTTCGCAGTTATGAGCTTCGCAGCATCTTCTTCAGTCTTCGTCTCAACTTGAAAAAAGCCCAAATCAGTGTTTCTTTCGAACCGAGAAATGCCGTACGAGATCGGCTTATACTTGTCGCAAAGCTTCTTTATCTCAGCATCACTCACTTTCTTGTCAAAACCCTGAATTCGAACAATAATGATCTCTGGATTAGACATGGAAAAAGTAAGTTTTATATTTCAGTTTTCTTCAGTGGTTACACGTGGCTATTAATTTATTGTAATAATCATTTTGGTTCGTGCAATATTGAATTAAATCAAATAAAAAGTTTTTATAATCTTAAGTGATAGTAACACAACATATTATGAACATAATGATTTATCATTGTAATTAAAAAGGAGTTGGAATTTAATTTGTGTGATATTCATCTTTAAATTACATAAAACATTTTTTTAATTCATATTACAAAAACATACTGTTCATCTCTGAGAATTATAAATATTTAAAAAATATTTGGATTTTTTTATACAAGTCCACTAAAATTTCAATGATGAAATTAATAACGTTTTTAATTTTTATAATAATTTCAAATGGTGTTGAAATCAAATTAAACATTGTTCGATATTTATAAATATAACGTTAAATAAAAAGGTTTTATAGTATTTGATTTATTGAAATTTGTAATTAATAAGAAATGAAACACGTTAAAAATTACTTTTTAATTATTGTCCAAAGAAAGGAGCGGCCTCATTGGCTTGTTCTTGAGCTGGTTTTTGAACGTTTTCTCTGTAAAACAAGTGGGTATTAGGTTTAATGAATTTGAGGAAAATTGGGTACATTAACAAATACCAAGCAAAGTAGAGAACACCAAAAACAAAGCAAATAATAGCACTATTCTTCTTGTAACCTTTTGCTGCTTTTAATACTACGTTATAACAGTCGTCTGATGGTCTTTGGTTGTTATCAATAACTCCATAGTAATTATGACAAACATACTACAAATTAGTCTATATTTATTTAATAATAATAAAATAAACAAACGAAGTCTTCCATTTCCACATTCTCGACGTTCCAATTGTATTCTTTGACATATCCAAAATATCCAGCAAGAAGTACAACACCACTTATAATTGGAATGGCAACAATTATAACAGAAAATGAAGTTAAAAGGTAAAAGACGGTTTCTTCTTTTGGTCTGAAAACAAAATGTATAATAGTCACAATAATTCCTGTGATCAAGAAACACCCACAAAATATTGGTAATACAGAAATAAGCGACAAATAAGCACTCACAATTTTTGACTCATTTTCAAATACACCAAATTGGAAATATTCTTTTCCTTTGATTGCTATAATCATAAATGGAATGGCCATGAGCTGTTTGTTATTAATTTGATTACTTTAAAACACTTTTTGTGTGAATACCAATAACAACAATTTAAAATCAAACAATATTGAAAATCCAAGAAAGTATAAAAAGATAACTTCGAGTCACTTTTTGTTCTTTGGTATTAAAACAATCAAAATTGGTGTTTGGAGTATCGCTTCCCATTAAATTTTATTTGATAAAGTGTTTCTACAAGGTTTTATATACCCTTAAATTTTTGTGTATTTGTAATTCAGAAAAAGTCCTTCTTCAGAAAGCAATGGAAACCTCTTTTGAAAAATGGATTTTTTGGGTTTGAAAGAATATATAAATGTATTAAAAATATCGTTATAATAAATAATATTTTATGACATAAGTTTTAAAAAGGAATACAATTAATTCAACATTTATGTATGAAAAATGGATATTCTTTGAATCAGATTTTGTAGTCGTTTTTTTGTCGATTTTGTTTTCATATTTGTTTAAGACTAATTTAGTGAACTATTTATTTACCAAAATTATTAAAAAGTATTAATATATTAAAATAATTGAATGATTTATTTATAAATAATAATAATTACCAAATTTTCGTATATGCTTTTTGAAAATTTATCAGATTAAATTATACAAAAATGTGTATAAAGACCACTTTGAAAATTGTAGATAATATGTGATTTTAGTATTAAACAAACTCAACAAACGGGAATTTGGTTATTGAGTGTTTAAAAACTTGTAAAACAAGAGGACAACACTTATTTGGCCTAAAATTCGGGTAATCTCATGTTTATTAACTATTTTTCCTGTTTTTAAAAGTTTTTTTATGCTATATATTATACTAGTCAATTAAAAAAATGATTATATAAACTATAAAAACAAGCTATTTTTTTATTAATAGTTATATGGTGGACATTTAATAGTTTTAATATTGTTTAAACATCGAGCATTAGGTAAAACGTGAAAAAACCCGAACCAATTAATTTGGATTTTTTAGGAGGCTTCTCAAAACATACCAATCTTTATAGTCCAAAAGATGCCAGATAACGTTTAACAACAGAATGTAATTCAAAAAACAAGGGCGTTAATTTGAAAATTAATGTTTTCTTTAAATATAAATTTATTAATTATAAATATTAGAGATTGAGTATTTACGGGGTGCCAGACTTATTATAAAAATTAAAATGAGTTTATCACGCATTTTCATATGAAATAATATCAAGAAAAAATAACAAATAAAAAACAAATCATTATAACCTGTATATTTACATCGATCAATCCAATAATTTCTTGACACCAACAAAGTTTCTGGCACCAATTTAATACTCTATCTGGAAACAACAATTAAAAACAAATGAAAAATAATTGATATCACAATTTAACAAACAAATATTATAAGAAAGTTTTATGTTTCTTTATTGTTAACCAAATATTATAATTTGCCCGTTAAATTTATTTCACTCACTTTTCCTGAGTGTGCAAAGTGCAAGGCAAGTGCGCCAATGATGGATAAACTTGCTGACGAACACACAAACCTCAAGTTCTTCAAAGTTGATGCAACTACAGCAACTCATTATGCTGCTGAATACTCGATTGCATCACTTCCCACATTTGTCTTTTTCCAAAACCAGAAGGTCGTGAAATAGGCGCCTGGCAGCTCTGAAGTACTTGAAGAGATTCTCAAAATGGTGCAGTAACTAATTCACTTCTTTATCATAGTTTTTTATTTTTTGTTAACAACATTATGAATGTATGTTGTGTTTTCAAATGGAAGTATTGTTGTATTTGTACCAATTGTCAAGACTCAAAGTTTGGATTGAGTCTTGACAAATGGATTGTGTAGACGTGTCACATTGTATAAAAAGGAATTGGTGTTAAAACAGTCATCAGAAAGCATGGTGATCCACTTGGAAATGTTTGAAAATGTTGCAACAAAACACAACACACTTTTTCAAAAGAAGGCAGTCAAAACAGTCACATACATCACACTGAACAAGCAAGACGATAAGAAACAGAAACGGTGGGCTTATCAAAATCTCAAGAACAAAAAACCAAAAGGTAAGAATCCAACACGTGTTGAAATACGCTCACAATTTGCTTTTATCTGATTGTCTTTCAATTTGATTTGATTGTTTCTTATTTTATCAATTTAATTCTTTGATAATATATTAATTATTATAATTATATAATAATTGAAATACATAAAAAATAGTCAGACAGACTTCAGTGCCTCTCATCTCAGAGTGTTGTGCACGCACTCGACCCCTCAACAAGCAGTTCATCGTGCATTGCTGCGTATCTCCCTTTGGCACTGAAGTGATGAAAGTCTTCATCCTATTTTGTGAATTCTATTTGTTAAATAGAAAGTGACATACTCTAAGAATGATCCTAGTCGTACGGTCTAATTCCCATTTTTTTATTCTTTATCTTTATACTTGTTGCCAATTTTTATAATTATGGGTTTGATTTTTATTTATAGTTTTGTTGATTAGTTTAATTTACTACAACTTATAATATCAATTTATAGTTTTGTTGATTAGTTTAATTTACTACAACTTATAATATCAATTTATAGTTATTTTAAATAAAAAAATACCATATATATAAAAATTTTAATAAGTATTAATTAGATAGTTAATTACTAATAAATTAAACTAAATCGATTAATTAATAACATATTATATTTATATAATTCATTGAAGCTATGAAATTAATCACCAACACATTTCAAGTGTTAAAAACAGATTTAAATTAAAACCAACCAAAAAGTAACTTAGAAGGCAATCATCAAGACAAACACCACAACTACAACTAACACCTTCAATGTCCCACTTTTGTTCATACAAACCTCGCATTCGGTGTCGCCTTGTTTGCATGGCGTGTTGTATGTGTCTTTGCACTTCTCGCATTTTCCTTCTTTTTCAAAGTACTTTTCTGGACACATGTCAACACATTTGTCTTCGGAAATAAAATAGTTTTCTTTGCACTTGTCACACTTTTCTTTTGCTGCACACGTCATGCAGTTATCCATGCACATGTCACACTTTTTGTTGTCGACATTGAAGAACCCATCTCCACATTTCTCAACACACTTCATAGTTCCCTCCTCCAACATCTTTGGTGCAACACACTCTTGGCAGTCAGTTGCATTGCTGCACACTTTGCAACCATCAGTGCATCTCTTGCACATCTTCTCAGCATTATCTTTGAAATACATATCTGGACAGTTGCCTTTCACACACTTTTTGGTGTCTTCAACAATCAGAGCATCTTCTTTGCAAATAGTGCACTTGGTTTCTTCGGTGCACGTCTTGCAATCATCAACACATGCGGTGCACACCTTATCCTTTGCAAAGTACGCTTCTGGGCAGTTCTTTTTGCAAGTTTTGTCTGGTTGGAGATTGTCAGTTGTACATTCAGTGCACTCGGTGGCTGACTTGCATTTCCCACACCCAGCAATTGTGTTACATGCAGAACATTTTCCTTCATCTGCCAAATAGAATCCATCAATACAAGACAAACACTTTGTGTCAGATTCACAAGTCAGACAATTGCTTCCAGTTTTGCACTTCTTACATGTTGCTGCTGCTGTTTTATCTTTGTAGTATCCAGATGGGCATTCAGTGGCTGTAACACATTTTCCAGTGTCTTCAAGAAGCAGTGCGTTTTCTGGACAAGAAGTGCATTTGGTCCCATCAGTGCAAGTTTTGCAGTCTGGTTGACATTTTCCACAAGTGTGGTTATTTTCGTTTATGGTGTCTTTGAAATACCCATCATCACACTTGTCAAAACACTCAAAGAGGTCTTCCTTCAAGTATTTATCATCCTTGCATTGGTAGCATTTATCAACAGCACACACTTTGCAATTGGGATGCTTGGACAAACAAACTGCCATATCATACTCGCAGTAATAGTTATTTCCATCAACACTCAAGAAATTGTTTGGGCATGCTTTGCACTTTGGTGTGACTTCTCCTGCCATTTTTGCAGCTGGTGCAACATCAGGAGTGACATCAACACATTCAGAGTTGGTGCATTTCGCCTTGAGAACAGTCAACTTTCCAAACACAGAGGCTGTGTAGTTTTCAGTGACATACACATTCAGTTTGCTGTTCAAATCAGTTGGGAGAGCTGCTGGTGCCGCAGTACCATGGAAAAACAAGTTTATCACATTGGACAGTGTGTCTGATAATGTTGTGAGTGGCGCATACAAATTGAGGTTTTCAAGTTGAGCACAATCTTTGAACGCGTCTTTTCCAACTGTTGCAACTTTCTGTGTTCTTGAAACGTTATTCAACATAGTGCATCCCGAAAAAGTACCCTCAGGAATCATTGTATTTTCAGACAAATCGGCGTGTTTCAGAGTTGTGATTCCATCAAAAACATGTGTTCCAAATGAAGTGACTGTTGGAATTGCAATATCTGTAACAACTGTAACTCCTTTGAAAGCCATATTTCCAAACTCGGTCACCGCCTTACCAAAAGTGATTGTTGGCATTGCTGTTTTTGTGAACGATGACTCGCCAAATGAAGTGATTGCTTCAAACCCAGTGACTGTTGCCAGAGAAGTGCAACCCTCAAA